GGTTCAAAATGGTAACTGCATGTAACTGCATAACTTCTCAGAACAAATACGGAACTTTTTTTCTTCACTGATTTTAAATGTTTTTGTATTCTTGACAAACTTTTTCACTTCTGATTTTAAGTCATGGTTCATGGGCTGACAAGTCTTGCTCATAAACCATGACTTTTCCATGTTGGCTAAGTATGTTTATGTATTCATTAGACTCCAGAACTTTATCTTTTTTTTTTTATATTGAGTTGAACTCAACCAAACACACGATCTGCTAGCAGATATGAGTGCCCATGTTCTGAAAACGCATGTGTAATATGCAGTTTCTTGAACATAGCTTTCTTAAAGCAAGAAACATAGATGGTATAATGTTTTTGTTATGCCCATAGCATAAATCAGAAAACAGCCAAAGTGATGAAACATTTGAACACTTATCCTTTAGATAATTTTTTAATAGATGTTGTACAGCTGAACAGATCATATTTGAATCTTTTTGATTCTTACATTCCAGCCACTTACAAAAAAAATATATGGTTAACAGACTTATTATCCCTGTGAATAACAATACCTAAAACATATAAATAAAGCTGCCGAGAATAGTAGGCTTCTTCTATTGATAATTTCGGTAGTACAAGATTCTCCATTATGTCAAAGCAGTCAACTGTGTCATCTATGTATATGACATACATTTGGGTGAATATCATTAAGCAAACTGTAAATTTTTTTTCCTTCGGTGAAGATTGAAAAGTGCAGTTTTTCTTTTATTTTGATCATCAGTAATATTTTGGCTTTTCATAGACAACTTGAACGATTGTAAAACATGTATCTGTTGCTGAGAATTCAAATGGTAAATAGTAATAGTTTATAAATACCCCTAATAATAATGGTAGTCCACATTTTGAGCAATAGTTGTACTATTTTTATCAAAAAAAATTTGGTACATGCATTTTACATTCAAATCAGAGGGCAAATATTTATGTCCAGGAGCAGCTTTTCTTCCATAATGACTTGCTCTGCATGTAAAAGTCTGAATTTTTAATAGCTTCTTTTATTTAAAAAAAAACTGCTTTCTTTCTGTCTCCTCCTTTATTTTCAGGTCTGGTTGTTCCATATTCATACCAGTGTCTTGCAATTCTTATAATTCATTCAAGATTTATGGGTTGATAATATTAATAAAATATTGACTTTTGTCAATAAAACATTTTTTCATTAAATATATATGCTCAACTTATGCAAATTATTCTGAATTTAAAGTAAATTACACAATACTGAACAAAATGAAGCTTGGCAAACTCATAGTTTCTATCCTTCAATTAGTAAATGACTGGGGTTGATATTTGACTGGACTGGAGCTGCGTTTGATAAAATATAGCTGGGGTCGGGGTTGGGTTTGTGACCGGGGCTCCATAAACATTTATACATTCTAAAATATAATTTTTTTATTCAAAATTCATGTTATATTTTGTATATATATGCATATATCATCATCATCTTCTTTTTTAGAGAATACTACACCATACAAATATTAAAGTTTATATAAATATGAAAGGATATTGTATGCCAGCATCTATATAAAGAGCAGACATATATGTTATATTATATATATATGCATAAAGCCCATCTCAGAAGCTTTTATCCTTCTGGACAAAAAGTTTGAAAGCTTTTATTCCTACTCTTCAAGTCAAACCTCATTCTACTGCATATTTTTTTCAATATCTTGAGCAGTTGCTTTATCAATCATTTATTTCATCTTTTTTACAATAACATATCTCTTAAGAACAAATATCCTTTTATTATTCCAAGAAGCCAATGTAAAAAAGTCCCGTTTGATGTTAAGCTCTGTTATTCTCAGTTTACTAAATCTTGTATCTTATATAAGATGTTAGGTTCTAGAGACTTTAGGTTAGTTTTCAACAATGTCATTAACTAAAGTAAGTCTAACATTTAATCTTATTAATTGTATAATATTTAATAATAATCTTATTATACTTAATTTTTAAAAAGTGCTAAACAATTTCCAATTTTTGAAAACTCTAGAAAACACTTTGACCTCTTTAACTATCCTATGATTAGTCTTCACTCTGTTATTATTTTATCTATGTTATTAGTTTATATAAAGGTTTTGAGATTATTAAATTATTTCTTACTAACTGCAGTAATAAAATTATTCTTGAAGGACTACACTCTCCTTTATTTCAAGTAACTTTAAGGGTACCACAAGGTATCTTGTGGTACCCTTAAATCTTTGCTCCTGTATTGTTTCTTATTTACAATATCAATCTTCATAAAAATTTAACATTTAAAGTGGCTCTGATGATAGAAGTGTTGATGATAGAACAAGCAGCTGATTTTTAATCTGATCTCTCTTCTGTAAGGTTCAAGGCTTAAGGGTTGTTATGGTTTATAGATTTAAATTCTGGACTTAAAATCTGCAATTTTTGTTAGACAACAAAACTCATTTATTTACTACAAAAAAATATTGCAATAATGTTGGTATTCCTATATTGATGAATAACAACTCTCAGAGAAAGTTATAAGCACATTGTAAATGTAATGCGGTAAATGTAGAGCACATTGCAAATGTAATGTGGTCGTGGTGTAGTGGTAAAAAGCTTGCGTCATAAGCAAAGTTCGATCCCCACCACATCCTTGGTAGTACCGCACTCAACTTGTTTCTCTGCACAGCAGCTTTGGTTGTCAAGGTTCGTGTTTTCGAGTTATATAGTTGAGAGAGGATTATAACCACAATTAAGTAGCTTCCTTGTCTGCAGTGTTTTCAGCATTGGGGAGGTGAATTAACATTAAAAAAAAAAAATAATTATAAATTAGACCTGCTTTATCTGCCAATTGAGCCACTTTCTTTTTTCTAGAAATACAATCATAGCCAATGCTCAAACAAGCTATCATCTCTATTACGATAAACAAAAACTCATTCTTGCTTGTTTCTTATTCAACAAGTTGCATCCTTTTACTGTATCTGTCCTTTCATGCTACAAAAGCTTCTATTAATTCAGTTTCTTTCCTTGCACATCAAAAAAACCTTATAACTATTAGCCATCTTCATGTTTTTCTTTCATATACAACCTACAACTTTTCAAGTCTTCATTTAACCATTTCCTTGTATTTTTACTTATTCTCTTTTTTAAAGTAACTCAACTATCAACCCCATCTAAATCTTATAGTTTAGCCGGGGCTGGGCTTGAGAAAAGTAACATTTTTAGCCCGCGCTCCGGTCACTTACTACCTTCAATGCATAAAAAGTACTCAATGCTCATAGTTCTTAGCTTTTTTTGCTCATTATTTTTTACTCTGGCTCTTTTAATACTGACTATATTAAGCATCCTGTGACACTTTATTGGTATTGCAATAGAATTCTAAATGACATTTAAACAGATTGTCTGGTGTAATATCTCCAGCCTGAAATATATTTGTCATGAATTTAAAGATTATCATAACACAATCTTATAATAATATGCACAATAAAATCAAACAAACTCCCCTTACAAAAGCCTGCAACGTGATTACACAATATAGAAGGAATTTTTTCTCTGCTTGAAAGTCAAAATAACCTCTTGCTGAGCATTGCTTTTTGCTTTTTCGTGACTTTAACGCTAAAACAACACTTTCAGCCAAACAATTATAGTCTCCCATTTTCAAGTTTTACTTTGAGATGTTTATTGCGCTTGCACAAAATTATCTTTCTAGACGCACCAATTGGTAAATAAAAAAATTGTTTTGAAAATGAATTTATATAATAAAGTATTTTTAAATACTATTATAATAGTGAAAGTCATCAAATTGTTATTGATAGAACATTACAATTCTTTCTTGTGAAGTTATACTTTTTATTGTCAAGTTTTTACCTCTATTTTAATTTATTATCTTGTTTATGCTCTATTATAATTATCTTATGTTATCATTATCTTATATATATATATATATATATATATATATATATATATATATATATATATATATATATATATATATATATATATATATATATATATTACTTTTACAAAAAGAAGTTAAATCAAAAACATATTTTTTGGACTTTACTCTAAATAAAACAAACAATTTCACAATTATCACTGTTTTTCATAAGAAAACTTTCTTGGGACTCTACACAAACCTTTTTTTGTTTTACTTCATTTTCAGTCTGGTTAAATGTTTAATTGATAGAGCTTATAAAATAAACAACACTAGTCTGGGCCTTAGTCATATTAACAATCTTTTTAAAGTTCTCAAATGCAACTTGTACCCTTTTGGTTAATTTATAAAATCTACAGCTCTTATATTAACAAAATACCAATCTCAATGTCAATTTCAATGCATTCAAAAAACCTACAAAATTATCAGTATTTTAAACTTCAATTTTAAACTTAAAATTGGACAAATATCTGATTAAACCAAACAAAATTAAACGCAATCATTAAAATGCATTGTAAATCGGTCACTGTAAGATTGGTTTTCACTTCATTGAAAATTTCAAAAATTTTTCAGCAAAAGATTCCTTTCCCATAAACTTTAAATCATTTGTCTATAAATTTAAATGTGCAGGCTAATAAACAAGTGAACCATGTAAAAAACTTTCAATCTAGTTTTAATATTACTGGTTCTTTTATCATTTTAACAACATTTGTTACATTTTTTAACTGCATTTTTATTGTATTTTTTATTATTAGTTCAACTTAATTTTACTAATTTAACTAAATTTGATTTGAGCATTTTAATTATATTTTAACTGAGGATGGCTATGGTATAGTTGAAACATGTATTTTATAAACTAAATGGTTTTAACAACTATATATATATATATATATATATATATATATATATATATATATATATATATATATATACATACATACATACATACATACATACATACATACATACATACATACATACATACATACATACATACATACATACATACATACATACATATGTGTGTGTTCTATTTTTAAAGTTTTTTTTTTATAATATATAATACTACAAAAAGTTTTTACTTATTATTTTATTGGGGTTAATCCTCCATAACATATCTCCTTCATGTACAAGCTTGCGAGAAGTGAAATCTAATTTCTAATAAAAAAAACAAAAAAGATTATTATAATAACAGGGTTATTTCGCCACAGCTCTTTAAAACTACAACCATAAATATTTCAATAATCAATAGCACAGAATCCTTTTTAGTACAGATAAAAAATTAACTAAATAATCATAAAAAATTCAGAAGTAAATTTTAACAATTATAATAACCCTTAATCACTTAAAAGTATACCATATCAGCTTGGTGCGCGTTGTCAAGTTTCCGAGTATCTTCTATTTTTTTTGCAAGTTCTTCAAGTCTGAGATTATTCTCTGCTTCTTTCATTTCAGCGTTAACAGTATTTAGTAAATGAACACAACAATCATAACACTTTTCTACTGGTTTATAATCTGGATGTGAAGTAGGTGTTACTTTGAGTATACTTGCTAGTAAAAGATGATATTTAGATAGTCGCTGATGAGTAGATGCCAGAATATCAGTAAATTTTAGACGACGACACCATCTGTGAGTTTCTTGTTTCTAGTTAAAAAAATATAAATAGATATACCATACTTAATACATATAATGCAATTTGAAATAACATTAAGATAAAACTTACTGTCATAAAGGTAAAAAGTTCTCTTTTTGTTTCTTTTAGTTTCTAAATAAAGGATTTTGTTTATAGCTTTTAGGTTATCTATATTTATTTAAAAATTAGTTTCAAATAAAGAACTAATTTTTTTTTTTTAATAATATATAACTGTTTTGTATAATGATAAATTAATATTTAACAATTTTACATATTACCAACAAGGCTCAAATTAAGTGATTGCAAAATTACTTAATTTGAAAAAAAATTAAGTGATTACAAATTGCAATATCCGGATTTATTTCTGGTTATTAAATTCTCAGTTTATTAAAAACTGTGAACACTGTTTTAATGAAACGATCAATTTATCATATTACAAAAATTAATGAAAAAAAACAAAACAATAAATTTACTACTACAAAAATAATAACAGGCAAAATATATTTTACATTAAAAATTATGCTTGATGTTTGCGTATTGTATGAACACATAATGTCGATTTTTGTTTAGGAGGAAAGTTTAAGGAATTATTCAAAAATTAAATGTTTCAAATTAGAAATTACTAATTGAAAATAAAGTTAATAATAAATGAGATTAACTCAAATGACTTATTTTAAAATAAGTCATTAGATTTTTTTTGTTTTGTTTGAAGATAACTATAAAAAGTTTAAACTAGTTTTAATATATTTTTTAAGTTCTCTGTCATTAATTTTGTCTATAATAATCTGCAAAAGAGATCCAAGCATTTAATTATTTATTTTTTATTGTTTTAATTGGTTATTGTTTAATTTAAGAGTTACATTACATTTAATTTATAAGAAAATATTGAATGAGATTTAAATAAGATATAAAAGTATTAAATATCTTATTTATCAATTTCTTTTATTTAAAATATTTGATCACCGCTAAATTCCTTTAGATTGTTGCGATAAGCAGTTGTTTTTTAATAATTATATCATACTTTATTGTGCTTTATTTTTCTAGTTTTATCTGATGTTTTATAAAATGAATTAAAATATTAAAGTTTAAATCATCATCTTTAATAATAATAAAAATAATAATAATAATATGGTTTTACAATGAGATTTTATATCATAATTTAAAATCAACGTAAATATTTTTTTATTGAACAACAGCTATTGAGTTTAGTAATCAAAACAGTTTTATAGTTTTTAAAAGGCTAAAAATTTAAAGATCTGAAGCATTTCCAGATATCGCAATTCATGATCACTTAATTTGAGCCCTGTTATTGCAATATTTTTTTGCACTAAATAAATGAGTTTTGTTGTCTAACAAAAATAAGATTTTATATCTAAAATTCTATATAATAAATTTATAGCTGAAAATTTAAAGACCAGAATGTCCAAATCACTTATTTCGAGACCTGACCAATTCGACACTTGCAAGAACTTAATGATATACTTTAATTCAACATTTAGAATTTTAAAAATATTTTAATTATTGTTACTTGCCCGAGTAATGAAAAACTTATTAAAACAATACAAAAATCTATGTAAAAAAACAAAATTGTATTGGAAAAATAAAAAAATACATATCAATGATCTAAAACACTAAAAATTTATGCAAATAAATTTATCATTAAAAAAATAGATGAGCTTACTTTTAGTCTTTCTAAGGCACACTTTTGTCCGCGAAAAAATTTACCATATGCCTCTATAGCATGTCGACCAGCTTCACCATCAAACTGTCAAAAAGAACATGATTCAAAAAACTTTCCTTATAAAAAAAAACAACTTAAATAGTGCAAATATTACATGCAACTACCAAAATAGGTTCATTAGGTCCCATTAGGTTCATTAGGTTAGCGCATAACATATCTACAACCTCAATATAAATTAAAAAAACTACCAAAATAAGCTCATACCTTTTCTAGCATAATATCACCTATAACCTCAATAACTTCATTTTTAGATCTCTCTTTCATGGCTTTTAACAATGACACTTTAAAAAAAATTTTATTTAAAATAAATGCAGCAATTTTTGAAAAATGAGAAAATAAATTTGAAACAAACCATGAATGTCAAGAAGTTCTTCAAGATTTGGAAAAATATCTTTTACTTGGCTTTCATTAAGAATATTATTTTTCATCAATGGCTTATAAAAAACCTAAAGGTGGTAAGAAAATAAGATTTCAAAAAACATTTTCATTTTTAAAAGTTTAACAAATTTAAAGCAATATTAAATTGGTAATAATAAACAAAATATAATTTGTACAAAAAAAATTGTATAAATGGTAAATAATATGCTTTCAAAAAAAATAGGCTCATTAAAATTTTGTTGCTTAAAGCATATTTAAACTACCATAAAATAAAAACTAAAGAAGATATTGAACTAATTTTATTTTATTTGCAAGAAAAATCATTTTTAAACAAATCTTGCATATTGGATGGCATACTAAAACATAAAATTGCATATAAAAATGTTATCAAACATAATAACGAAAAAAAAAAAAAAAAAAAAAAAAAAAAATGCAATACATAAAAAATTAAAGCAACAAAAATGTCCACTGATGGAACCATGCTGTTCTCTAGAGTCTCTATGAAGCGCTCTGAAAATTCTTATTCGTCTAGTTTTTTCCCTCGAACATCAGTTCTTAGGAACTTGCTCTCTTCATCATTCATATAATTTGCAATCTTTCAAGTTGAATGTTAACTGTTATCTTGCTTTATTAACTTCATTTTTTCTATTCAGGTAACTTCCGACTCTAATAGTGGTTGCTTCCAGCCTTGTTAGAAGTGAAAATGTTTAAAAAAAAACCAAAAGAAAAAAAAAAAAACAACCAACAAGCCTTGTAGAGGGAAAAAGCCATATAAAGGAAAGAAGTCATGTAGAAGGTAATATTTATATTACCTTTAAATTCTATTAAAATAGCATAGCCTATATTAAGTTGCATGTATTCTGAATACTTTTTTCCTGGCACTCTAATTTAACATAGTTTTCTTGCATTTTAAACTTCTTTTTTTACTTGAGTGTGATTGAGAAAACTTTCTTATCTTCTTCTGTCTTAACTCCATTTGCTTTCTTAATGAACAGCTATAGAAAAACCCTTACTACATCATTGATGGTTTCCCTTGTTAAAGTAGACTCTTTCTAAAGTTTATATTGTAAACTATAAAAAAACATACTTTTTCTAATTGCTACTTATCATTTAAGGAACTGTGTTTAAAGAAGTACCTAATTTTAAAAAAAATTTTGTGTCTAATACGGAACTGAGGAACTGAGTAAAGTTACATTTACTTGCGTTACGCAACAAAATCTTATAACAAGACTTATATATATCAAGTCTTCCGGGGAAGCGCGTGCGGTCGGATGCCTTGTACATTCACGCTTAAAGTAATTTTTTTAGACAACTTGACCACATTTTTATAAAGTAAGTGTTTAAAGAATTTGAGGCAAAATAAAGCTATAAGAAACTGGAGAATAAATCAGCAACACTCAAAGAAATGAACTGAATATACAAAATAGAAAATCTTAATTTTATTAATAAAAAAAAAGAAAATTGTTGTCAAAAAAATAATATACCTAAATATTTACTGTTTTTGTTTTCTTATATTTAGAGCGTTTGAAAAAATACTCAAATAAAACAAAATAAGTATATTTAATAATTTGAATCGTAACTGTTTATAATAAACATTTGTTAAAATTTGTTCATTAAAAAGTAAGTTCCTTAACTTATAAACAAACGCAAAAGTATTTTCATTCTTTGTATAGTTACAAAACACTTTCTTTTTTTTTTTGTTAAGCAATTTAGTTAAGAATAATAAAATAAAAAAAGAATAAATATGAGGTAACCTTTGTTAAAAACAAATTTAATTTATTTATTGAACAATATTTTTATTTATATACCAACTTAAATAAAATATACCAACATGTTAAAATATTTCAACATGACTTGTGTCATTTATAAACCGTAGGGCAGCTGCCCATACGGCACCATTGGTTTTGGATAATATTTTATTTTGATGAAGATCACATAACTTATATATGATTTTAATAATGTAAGTCTTCTCTTTTTCTGTGATAATTTCAATTCGAAAGGCATCGACAAAGTCCCAGGATTTAAAAGTTTTCAAAGTAAATCTTTTGTCCTTCAAAATACAACCCATGTTTGAACTTTAAACAATTTGGAGAGAATGGAAATATACTAGATTTTTATATACTAGTTTGTCTTATTTTATATAGAAAAATACATAGTCATTTTTAAAGAAAGAAACTGTCATTAAACTAAAACGTGCCTTAGTATTTATTTAACGGAGTCTTTAATGTGCGCGTGCATAATGAAACCTCTGTTATATAAATATAATCAATGTAATATTAGTGTCATCAGCGGATGTTATAGTCTAATCGTGATTTCTTGAACTTAATAATATAATTTGATTTATGAAAAAAAAAAAAATTTATTGAATCGCACGAAGAAGAAATTTAACAAATTGTCTTCATTCAAAAATTGCAAGTAACAGGTAATTTTTTTTTTCTACTATGCCGGCCCTCATCCCCCCGCATAACTTGAAGGTAAAGGTACCTTTAACTAAGAAGAAAAGCAAAGAGTAATACTTAACGAAGAAGTAATTTTTAGTAAAATAAAAATAGATTGTTCATTCATTGGCACATTTTTTTAAATATCTTGAAAAAATGTCTTTATATTTTTGTTATCATGATAACAAAAATATTTTTTTTGAGATATTAAAAAAAATGTGAATCCTTAACTACAAATTTTTTGCAAATGTTTTTAATAAAAATTTAGTAAAAAACTATAAAAAAAATCTATATTGCAAAAAACAATTATATTCTGTATTAATAAATTTGGAATTAAGATTTTTTAAAAGTTTTTTACTGAAAACTTTAAAAAAATTACTACTTTTTATTAAAAACGTTTGCAAAAAATTTGTAGTTGAGGATTGACAAACTTTTTTCATGTTGCTAAATATTTAGATAAAAAGTTTAGCGTAAAATTAATTGCTATAAAAGGCGATGAAAAGTTACTACAATTATTTTTAACGTAACTTCTTTTTTGTAACAAATATTTTTACATATCGTTATTCAAAAGTTAATGTGGTTTTTTTAAAAATTAACTACTTCTTTTATGTTACCGCTAATTTAAAAGTTTAAAAAATGATAAAAAGTAGCTTAACCAAAACCGCTCTACGCGTGCGTAAATCGCTCTAGGCGTAACGCTTTAAAATGAGGCCTGATACTTACAACTGCAAATCATAATATTATAACTAAAAATGTATAAAAAATTTGTTTAAAAAAAATCATTCTCAAATATAATTAACGTATTTTTAACTGAACCAAAACAAAAAACTTACTTTAAATAGCACTTTTAGGTTGCGAACATGTGTCTTTTCTGTATGAATTAACTCTACATATAAAAAGCAAATTGTTTTTTATTTTTTTAATTTTAATTTATATTGTTTTATGAAGTACAAAAGAATTATACAATATTTTAACTTACCATGAATAACTTCCTGTCGCTTGATCTCTTTTCCTTTGAGTTTCTTTAAAACCTGCATAGAAATATATATATATATATATATATATATATATATATATAGCCCATAGATTTAGGAAAAAGAAGGTCGGCATTTATTGCCATCCTTAAGATTTAAGATTGACATCAGGTCAGCAAAAAAAAACTTGATACAAAGATGTTGACATAAAACATAGAAATGAGGTCGGCGATTATTTGTTGACCTTTCACACTTTTAGGTCAGCAGTTAGGTTGGCAATGTCAAATGTTGACCCTAATTTCGAGAGCTGTATGAATATATATACATACACACACACATATATATAAAACATTTATGTAACATTAAGTATGCAAGTTCCATCAAAAGACAGTTTCTTTAAGACTAGAGACAACAAATACAGATAATTGTTGTTGTTGATTATGAAGAAGCATCAAAACTCAAGATAAAAGCTGAAAAAGAGAAATAAATTAAGAAATTAAGACCTACTATACCAAAAGTAAAGTTGATATGTTATAGGTATATTATTCAAAAAAACTGAAGACCAACAATACCAAAAGTAAGCTGATTCATCTAAAGCTGATTCATCTAAAGCTGTAAAGCTGTAAAGCTGATTCATCTAAAGATGATGACATTGACATTTTGACTATATGTCGATGAGTAGATTGCCAATGTACAAAAATGACAATCTCTCTACCATTGCTCACTAAAGCTTATAATTAGAATGGATTCTCAAATAGAACGACTGCTATTTTAACAACTACAGTATTGCATGATCTAGAGTTTTAAGTTGACTAATCAAAAAATATTGATAAAAGCAAAACCAAAAAATATATTTCAGTAACTCTACTTCATTATCAGACTTCATTATTAGGCTTCAGACACAACTCAGTCACTAGTATAAAAAAACTGAATGTGAAGTCATAAAAACATAAAAAATGGATGTGTCAGCACTTATGTTAACATGGGACACACAACCAGCATAATCACCCAAGTGAAATTGCCTCAGGCATCCTCTGCAGTTGCTGACAAATCTGCTCCATACCAAAAAGTAAATATGAGTTGCAATGATTATTTTTTATTTGAAAACACTCACAAGTAATTTATTTCCATAAAAATGACTATAGGAAAAAGACAAATTTGCAATTCTGTGTGTAACTTCTGTGTGTGAACTGCCTTTGAACAAACACAAAAAAACAACACAACAAAACACAATCATTAAAAAATAAAAGCGAACAAGCATGGATCAAAAAATTTTTTTGCATCTTATGCTGAGTGTGATGGTATTTTTACATATCTTTTATTCTCAGCAAATCTTAAAACAAGAAGCAAAAGAGAAATTGTGATGCATAGTGCGATTCTGTAACTATCCTAAAATTTTTTACTATTATATTATTAAATATATTTACACATTAAATATTATTTCAATATTATCTAAAAAACTCGTACATTAATAAAACTTGGAGAACATTAGAAAATTTGGAGAGATACAAGTTTATTTATCAAATAAAATTTTCATTTTTCTGTTCGATGCCATTTTAAATTCATTTCCATTTCAAACTAAATTTATTTTTTGATAACATCAATAATGTATGCCAATCTTTCTTTACATAAAAATATATATTTTTATTAAAAAGGCCATAAAAGCCATTACAGTCAAGAAGGCTACTTTAGTTGTGGTTAAAACCCTCCTTCAACTCTATAACTCTAAAACACAAACCTTGACAAACAATTTGCTGCGCGGAGAAACAAGTTAAGCTCAGTACAACTAGGAATGTGGTGAGAATTGAGCTTCTTACTTATGAGGCGAGCGCTCTATCACTACACCACTACTGCTTATATATTAGATAAGATTTAAATTAAAAACTGCCAATTATATTGTTTTAAAAATAATAGACATACTAACACATAAATTTCCATGCATGACTTTTTAGAAAAATATATTTTGTGCACTTTACGTTTTAAAATGCAAACTTCAATTCAGAGATTTTTCCAGGAAAAAAAAATAATATTTTTTTTTTGCCATAATGACTATCTACTATAGCATATATAGATCAGCTATTGCTTACTCATTTTGCATATATATGTGCATATATGTGCTTAAACATGATTGTGTGTGTTTTTGAAAATAAAGGAAAATTTATCATTGCAGAAATAATTTAATAATTTTAAAGAAATTTCCCAGATACATTATAAAAAAAGAGCTTATGGACAAGACCAGCATGCCTTTACTGCTAGCCTTTGATATGTCAAAAAATGATATGTCATTAGTAAACTTAATATGTGATAAAATATGTGAGGGCAAGCAATTAATATCGCATCTTTTTATTAAAACTAGTATCAGGAGTTTTTAGCAACCCAGAGCATTATCAACTATATTCACTAGCTCCAATAAAACCCAATTAGCAAACTAAAAATGTAACTTATATAATATTACCTTTTATAACATATCTAACCTTTTTATCAGCTGAATCTTGCCAGTTTGGAGTCTCAGCCTCCACCTCTAAGTCAGAGTCCTATATAAGTCAAACAGATATATATATATATATATATATATATATATATATATATATATATATATATATATATATATATATATATATATATATATATATATATATACACAAATAAGGATATATATTTTATTATTCATATTATTCACAACTTTTATAAATAATTGATAAAAAAACTTACTAACTCTTCCTCTGAATTCACTTAAAATAAAAAAATAAAATAAAAAAACAAATAAAAAAACAAAGTATAAATGGTCAAAAAACATTAACTATTGCCAGCACATAATGTATTAAACAGATAAGTAAATGTCAAAACACCTGAATATGTAAATAGACCTAGAAAGCAACTGTTACTTTTGAAATGTAATTGCAATTAATTACCTCATTATATAACTACAACTTACTTTAATTATGTCTTTTTAAATATAAGGGATAGCTAAACCTCGTATCTTTTGAATAACAGATAATAAATTTTTTTTCTTGATAATTTAAACTATATGGTTTTTGGAATTTTTACTTTTATTTTTTCTTTCCACAAAACTAGTCAATATTACAATATCAGGTAAAGTTATGATACTAAATTGACAATCATAGATATACTAACCTGAAATTTCTGGAGGCGGTGAATCACAACCAAGAATAGGACGTAAATTAGAGGTTTGTGTTGAACCACCATTGAAAGTATCACTTCTTAATAGTATTAGATAAAAAAATTTTTTATCTGGTCATAATAACAATTAGGTCAAATAATAATTTAAATTTCAATAAAATAATACTTCATTCCAGGTAATGTTCCTCCTCCAACCATTGGCTTTTGCTTCTAAAGAAAGAATTAAGTTTAGTTTTTATGTCTGTTGATAATTTATTAACAGTCATAGAAGCAGTTTTTTGATGTAATAACTTTTATGTGTTAGTGATTTAGAGTAGTGAGAGAAATAAAAAAATAAATAAATGAAAATATAACACAAAAACTACCTTTGGGGCAATCAAACTAGTGCTGAAATATAAACACAATAGAAGTATACAAACATAATATAAATTTAATGTAAATATTTAAATTGATAATAAGTAAATAAAGTTAATAGATAATGAAAAAAATCTTACGATTTTGTCTTTTTAGAATGAGAGTCCTACAAATTAATATTAACTTACATAATAAAAAATCATGTTTACCAAAATTAAATGTAAACAACTTTAACTTTCTAAGCACAATGTTGAAAAAATTCCCTCAAAAAGTTATAAATGAACATTTTTTCAGAAAGTTTTACTCGGAAGAAATATTGTTTTTTCAGACACATTCTAAAGAAAGGTTTCTAAAAATCATAAATTCAAACATTGTTTCTAAAAATCACTTTTTACTAAAACTACTAAAGTTAACACTTAAAAAAAACTTGATGGCATTACATAAACCATAATTGCGCATTTAAATCAAATAGTGATATGCTTTCAAATAAAATTTATTATTACAAAATTATTTGAAATATACAGTTACTTGTAATTGTACACTGTTAAGTTACATTTCACAATTTTGCCATGTTTAGTTGTTATGTTTAGTTGAATTGATGAAATTTACTTAGTTACCTCTTGAGGTGTACTTGGTCTAAATTTAAAATAAAATATTAAAATTAAACATAAAAAAAAAAAATAAATAAGTAAGAATTTTTTAAATATATAACAAAAAAATTTAAAAGAAATCATGTTGCAAATTGATTGAGATAATTACTCTCAATTAATATATATACTTTTTTTCAACTACTTAAAATTCATGAATTGTAATTAATTTATATCAATTTATAATTAAGTAATTAATTTATATCAATTTATAATTGATTTATACTAAAGAGATGCAGCTTTATCACAATGAAACTCAAGGTTAACTACTATTACAGTTCCAACTACATTTACAACATTTTTTAAAACCTTGTCAAAAATATAAAATATGACAACAGTATTCCATAAAATGATGAAGAGATTTAGAGACAGAATGAAATCAGAAGTTAGAAAAGGCAGACTTTATTGAAAGTTTTTGATATGTCGAAAGTAGCAGACTAAATGGGGGAGAGTAGAAGACTAGAGCTGTAGACAAAAGTAATTAAGTATACTAAATGTGGTAGTACAATAGTGCTAGAACGCTTGGATTGGTGGTAGTACACTAGTGCTGAACACTTGTTTTTTAATGTGATAGTACATTATTCGTTTAATGTGATAATACATTATTTGTTTAATGTGATAGTAGTGGACTAAGTGGGGTAAAGTAGAAGACTAGATTAGTAGACAAAAGTATTAGTAGTCTTAATGTGGTAGTACAATGCTATTTGTGATAGTACATTATTTGTTTAATGTGACAGTTTAATGCTAAAATGATTGTCTCACAATCAAGAGTTTGCAGTTCAAAACCATGCCCAGAGGTGATTCTAAAAATAAAACAAGGGAGGGGAGGGGGAATCCTGAAAAAGTATCCTTGCTTGTATTTTAGAATTTAATTTTTGACAGAAAGTTGCAAATAAGAATTAAAGAATTTGAAAGACAAGAGCAGCCTTCTGTAATTTGGTCAGAAATAACTTTAGCAGCAAAAACTGTGGTGATTTGGATGTCTAATAATAGATAAACTAATAAAAGATAAACTTGTTCTTCTGGAATGCCAAGAAGTATGTGGTCATTAAATTCAAGAGAAAAACATAAGAAAAATTAGTTGCTGCTAGGGTGGTTTGAATGTCTAACTAGGGATTAACAGTGAATGGTTATTCAATTCAAGAGATGAAAGAGGAAAAAATTCTTAGTAAATAATTCTTCCTTTCCTTTGGGAGAGGTAAAAAGATCAGAGACAGAATGCTAAACTTGGTTTTGTTAATAATACTGACAAAAAATTTCCAAAAGTTTCTAAAACCTAGCTTCTGAGATAAAACACAAGCTTTAGCTATTTAAGAATAATGAAGTCAGACAATACTTTTTGCATTTCAGGTTAAAAATATGAAAAAAAAAAAGATTATGATTACTATGAGCAGATTGATGATCAATTATGATATTTGATGATTATGATCAATTATGATTTATGATTGATGATAATTGATGATCAATTATGAGCCAATTGCAAGCATAAAATCTGGGAGCTTATATAATCAGCTAAAGGACCATAACACACAAAAAAAAAAATCTCAAATTCCAGTTAAACTTAAGTAGTGAGAAATGCAATGATGCATCTGATGATAAAAGTTTTAGTGATAAGAAATTAATTGAAGTCACCAATAACAACAATATTGGCTGATGGGTAAATGGAAAGTGCTCGATCAATTTCATTAAAACTTTACAATTTCCTTTTTGAAACAAAATTTTATTTCAAATTTCAAAAACTTAATAATAACAGCAAAAGATAATTAGTTTTAAAAAAACTGTCAACCATCCATCTTTGATCACTTTTATCTTGTAAGCATCAAACATAAATTTGCATACAGCTATAACAAAGTTAAAATTTCATAGTATTATCTAGATTGTTATTGCTTAAGGTTTATTTTTGATTATGTATTTAACAGTATGTATAGTTTTTTACTTCAATTTAAATTGTCCTGACCATTACACAATTAAACTTATACTCTAATGCTTATATCAAAAAATCTTTATTCTATATAATTCTTTACTTTACACCTCAAAAAACTATTAGCATATTTATAATGCTTTTAGATTTATTCTGATAGCTAGGTTTATTATAAAAAGTAAACTGGAGTAATAGTTATCAATTGAGCTTCAAAAAAAAATAATTTTCAAGTTAAAAATATTTTAGGCTTTCTTTTTTATCTTATAGATAATTTTTTACACAACAAATATACAAATATTGAAAATAATTTTTTTGAGAAATCAATTTTTATGAAAATGGTTTTATGAAAGTGGCTATTCACAATTCACATCATTCAAAGGATTGATCCCTTAGAATGTTGACTTTTTTGGTGGCTTTTTGTGTGCCGAAATAGTAGCACTGTAAAACATTTTTCAAAATGTCTCTAAGTATTTTTGTAAATGTCACAACATTTGTTTGTGCAGGTGTCACTGCAGTTGTTTGCAATTGTTACATGCTGACTGCTAGATGATACTGAAGAGTTAAAATGAAAACAATAAAACAGAATGCAGAAATAACAGAATATAAAAAGAAACAGTCTCAGATAAATATGATAAAGCTAGTTGGTGGAAGCCAACCAATACTATGAAATTCAGTGATTATTTGTATTCATGGAAATGTGGCACTGGAGTTAAAATTTGTGTTGATAGAAATGTGACACTCGAGTTAAAATTTCTGTTTAAGGAAATGTGGCACTGGAGTTAAAATTTGTGTTGATGGAAATGTGACACTCGAGTTAAAATTTCTGTTTAAAGAAATGTGGCACTGGAGTTAAAACTTTTTTTGTATTTGAGTGAAACTTTCTTTATTAGATTTGTAGCTGCATAAAATTCTGTAAGTAACTGGTGTCAAACTTTTTTAACACAGCAATAAATATCTATTCCAAATGGTTGAAGTATGTGGAACAAATGAGCCAATAAATCTATCATCTGTTATTCTATATGCAAACACATGCAACATTTCAAGTAACATTAGTTACCTACATTAGGCATTCACATTTCTGCTCAAGATTAAAATGTGAATACCTATAGTTGAAAAAATTAATTGATTTAACTACTCAATTTAAATTAGCTGGAATCAATTTATTTACTAATGTAAACACTTAAGTAAAATATTTACTTAGATATTGTAAATATGATGTTTGGTGGTCCTCTACACACCATTCGTAGTACAGTTGTGATCGATTTATAACTATGAATTGCATTAAGATAATTAATGACAGTGAATGTAAGTCTTTTCTTGTTACCAAGCAATTTTAAAAAGCGTTTAACAATGCACCTTATAACTATATGCTGCTTGCATTGATCACTTGAAGTTACAGCTTTGTTAAAATTCTATGAGTGTTATTTTTGATATTTGTTTTAAAAAGGCTTTGGTACAGTAAGAAAGGGCACAACAAAAGCCTACTTACCTGACACTTTACGAATTGTTTGGTATAGTTAGTTCTGGTATACTGTTTGGTAAAAACAAATGACTTTGATTTGAAAATACAAAATAACTTTACACTTTTGCAATGGCATCCTGCCGATGTTTTACCAAAAACCTAATTGGCTAAACTAACAAGTAATGTATCAAGAACAAATTTAAATGCTGCAAATGATTTGTACTTTGTACTTTCATGTTTGCCGTACCTATACAATGCTAGTTGCTTTTTTTTTTTTGCACACGCTTGTGAAGAGTTGCTTTTGGTATGTTGAATATCATTGAAGCTTACTTAGTTACATTTTATCTTTATAAGATTTGTTCTACAGCAAGTTGCAATCTTTTTTTATAGGGTGAGAACTTTAAAGTTATAGCAAAAAATAGATTTTTTTACAATAAATTCGACACCTTTAGATGAAGCAGAGAATTCTTTACAATATGCTTTAAAAAAGTTTTTGTTGTTATTTACTTGTAACAGTTAACTTTTATTTTTCATTGAAAAAAATTATTTTGAAAACATACAACAAGAAATGTTGCTGAAACAAAAAAACTGTATTTAAAAAAAAATTAAATTACCTTTCCTTGTCAACATCAAGATGCTGATCAACACTAAACAACAAGAATAAATTTTAAAAAGAAAAATCTAATTTATAGAATTTGTAAATACAATTTGTAGTTTCCTACATCTGTACATACATTTTTCATACAATTTGTAAAAAAAATGTTTGGAACTAACCCACATTTTTTGTCCAACACATTTTTGTAAGAACCAGTAAAAAAGAAGGAATAAGTTGAAACAAATGGGTGCTCATTCATATCTCCATTTTCTGACATTATTTATTTTAACATTTTTAATCTAGTAACACCCTCTATACAATAGCCTACAACCATGGTTGCTTTAATAATGTATAGCAGTTTTTAAGTTCATGATAATCTTAAGTGTTGAAGCAGTTTTGAACTTATTTTAATATCTTCAATTTTATTAAAAAGTAAAGTCTTCAGATAGCAAAACACTTCATTAATGTGTCAAAAATTTTAAAACAATATCATTAATATTCATAAAGTAACAATAAATTATTAAAACTTTATTCAAAATCATAAATAATTAATGATGTCATTACTGCTATTTTTAATGTAATACTTATGCATAGAGTGTTCAAATTCAATACTTTTTTAAAAACAAACCTGTCATCAGGAACCTAAAAAAAAAATTAAAAAAGATGAATAAAATAAAAATAAAAAATGAAAACATTAAAATAAAAAAATTATAACATTAAAATAAAAATGACAACATTAAAATACAAAAATTATTTACTGCATCAGTTGGATCACTTGCAGATGAATTAGCACGTCCCTTCTCTAAAAAAAATTAGAAAACTTAAATAGTTCAATTAGTTTAATATTAAACAATTTCATCTTGTTTCAACATTTATAATTTATTTTACATAGTATAAGAATATTAATAATAACTTTTATTAATAATAATTTAATAATAAGTTTTTATTAATGCAACTAAATAGTTGCTTTTCAATCATTTTTCAATCACTTTCAAAATAAAAAAATAATTTTTCTTTCTTTATTTTGAATTAATATTTTATTATTTTGAAAAATAATGAAAAAATTATATTGAACAAAAATACTGACCCCCAATAACATCTGTAGTATCATCATAACCAGAAGGCTTTAGGTAGGTAAAAGTAGAACCAGAAGGCTTAATAGGTAAAGGTAGGTTCTGCTTAATCTTAAAATCCTAAATAAATAAAAAAACTGACAGTAATTAAAAGAATTAAGAGAGTAAACTGGTCTTAATTGACTATTATGATCTTAGATTTAAAAAAAGGATTTGAAAATCTTTTAACATAAAAATGCGTAAATATATAATATATAGGGTATACAGTTATAAATATATAAGGGTATCCCATATTTAGAACAGGTACAAAAACAATAGAGCATTATTTTTTAGTTTATCAAAATCAATAGTCAGGTCTGCAGCTACTAGTAGAAGAACATGTTAAAAATTTTTTTAAAGTAAAAAACAAAGAGCTTCAATAACAAAGAATGTTGGGCTTATGTATTTTTAAACTTAATAAAACTAAAAGTTTTAAGAGCATGGTTATGCATAAAAGTAAAAAACCATTTTTCTACCAAAAGGATAAGTGTAATTACCAAGACCTCCCAATAGAATACTTGGTGAACTTGGTTCATCATCCTGACTATATAATGATTGTGACTATATAATGTTTGCTATTTATTATCAACCCATTATACATAATATTAATTGACTTTTTTAATAACAATTTTTATTAATAATAATTTAACTCCTTTAACTACAACCCTCACTCCTTTAACTTGGAAACACTTGACAAATTCATCACAACCCATAATACATAATATTAATTGATTTTTTAAATAATTTTTAATAATAATTTAACTCCTTTAACTACAACCCTCACTCCTTTAATTTATAAACACTTGACAAACAAGTCCATTGAACAGAGAAACAAGTTGAGCATGGTATATAACATGGTATAGATAACAAACTTCTCAGTCCAAACAAAAATTTAAACAATAGACTAAGTATTGAAGAATAATGAAAAAATTATTAAAAGTACTTGTCAGTAATATAAAAAACATTGAACGGTGTTTTTTAAAAATACATAGTAAAAAACCATAAGAAATAATATATAAAATGTTAAAAAGCTCTATTCAGATAAAACTCTGACAAGTTTATAAAGCAATTTATACCTTTCATAATTCATACAAATTTAAGTAACACAAATTTTGTAAAACTTATTTATGTTTTATTTGCTTTTGTAGCAATGCTAGCAATTTTTTGTTAGCTTTCACAATACTAATATATATTACCATTCATAATTTTTTGAATGACATTAATTTTTTTTAAAAATACTTTTTTTATTTAACTATTTTTTATGTTTATTTTTGCACTATGAGATAATTTAAAGTATGATTAGATAAATAAGATTAAAATGCTTTGATAAAAATCATAAGAATAATAAAAATGCTTAAGTGAGTAAAACTACATATTTGTTAGTGGCATAAAATTTATTTTGTACATATATATAGTTGTTATAGTTGTTAGTATATATATATATATGTATATATATATATATACATATATATATATATATATATATATATATATATATATATATATATATATATATATATATATATATATATATATATATATATATATATGTATATATATATATATATATATATATATATGATGCTATATATACATATATATATATATATATATATATATATATATATATATATATATATATATATATATATATATATATATATATATATATATGATGCTATATATATATATATATATATATATATATATATATATATATAATGCTTTGATAAAAATCATAAGAACAATAAAAATGCTTAAGTGACTACATATTTGTTAGTGGCATAAAATTTATTTTGTACATATATATAGTTGTTATAGTTGTTAGTATATATATATATATATGTATATATATATATATATATATATATATATATATATATATATATATATATATATATATATATATATATATATATATATACATGTATATATATATATATACATATATATATATATATATATATATATATATATATATATATATATATATATATATATATATATATATATATATATATATATATATATATGCATATATATATAGTTTTGGGTAACACCACACCTAATCCTCTACTTTCCAGATGTTCATGTTCCATTTTTCACAAATAGATTTGAAATGTTTTACAGAAAGTGAATAAATAGTAGTAAGGATTATATAAAGTTTAAGGTTATGTAAGCCTATAATATAAGGTTTTATTTTTAGTTAGCATCTCTGATTCAAGTAATCGAATCAGAGAGATAACTAACAACAAAACCTTATATAATATTAGTACTTTTTTTAAATATAAATAAAACTGTGTTCCATATTTTAAAATGTTTACGAATATATCACCTAATTTACAATTAAATTACAATATTTACAAAAATAAGAACTTTCTTTAAAATAAAAATTCTTTTAAACTATGTATATGCGAATAAAAGATTAAAAGATTTCAACATTGAAGTACCTTTGAAGGTTTTTTTGATTTTGGTCCAAGACCAGGACATTGATCTGGAAGACTCTTGAAACAAACTCGCTTATGCACATTGATTTCACAAACTGCAAATTAAAATTTATAAATTTAATATACTGATATAATCTATAAAAATTCATTTTCATTAAATATGAAAATATAACTAGAACTTTAGATAACATAGATAAATATATTTCTTGGTAACCTTGACATTGGTATCCTTGAGTTCCAATACCCCAAAGTAATCCATCACAGTAATCGCAAAGTGTCAAGTTTGTGTACTGCATGCTAACAAACTGATGACCATTAACTGAATGGCTTTTGCGCTTTGGTTTAAATACACCAAATGAGGTTTTCTCTTTTTCAGCGAAACAACGACAACGTTCAAGAACACTTCCACGACCACTTGAGACCTGTTAAAAATAAAAAAACTAAGTCTTAAACATGTCTTGTAAATATAAAGTATGTAAATTTAATTTCAAAACCGCAATGAAAGTTGAAAATATTTATAAAAAAATATTTCAATAACATCTTTGCAGTCTTTACTTAGACTTTTTTTACTAATAATATCTCCACAGCAAGTCATAAGACATGTCACAGGTGACAGTCATGACTTGACTTGACTAAGTGTCCATAAAAATATTTGTTATAGTACAAATTTTTTGGTCAACTTTTAAGTTTGATTTTAAAACACATATGTTTGCTATTTCATCAATTTGATGAATAAAAACACTTTCCACATACTTCACATATGTCATAACACATAATACTTTCAACTTTTTTTCTATTCTTGTATGACACCATCTCCTTGAAAACCAACATTTATCTATATATACTATACATATCACAGCCCCAGCTATTATTATTTCCTGCAACTATTATTGTTTAGCCGGGGCTAGGGTTGTTAAAAAATCCTTATTTAGTAGGGTTGTTAAAAAACCCTAATTTAGCCAGTATATAATCATATAATATTACTATTTAGTCGGGGCTGGGTTAAAAAATCTTTATTTAGCCGATATCTATCATATATTGTTTAGCCGGGGCTAGGGTTGTCAAAAAATCCATATTTAGCCAGTATATATCATATAACATGCACTTAGCTGCACATAAAACTATTTTATTTTTAATTTTAGATATCTATAAGCCTAAGTTCATCACATAAGGATGACACTCAAAACTGAAAAAAGAAACTTCAAAACGCTGACCTAACCCTTTTTTAGAGACCTTAACCAGCTCTCTCAGAAAAGCTTTCATTTAGTTTGACAATAGCAATGATAGAAAATTTTTTGTTATTACCTTTCCAGGAGTAAGCCCAGCCTGTTTAATGAAAGTTGCTAAAGCAGATGCCATTGCAGTACTAAAAAAGATAAAATTAAAAACATTGTAATTTAAAAGGATTAAGGTCTAAATTTAGTATTAAACAAACAGATTTTTCAATTTAAGCTAAAATGTGTTACTTTCTATCATTCTGTGGTTCATCAGTTGAATCTGCATCTGCCCTGTATAATAGTAAAATATAAAAGACTTTTCATAAATATAAACATTTTCTTAAGTTACATTAAACTTAAAAATATCTTTAACTTATATTTCAACATACATCAGAGTTTCTAAATGAGGAAGGAGAGTTTGTTCAATGACTTTTAACTCTTTATTGCGATCAAGATGAAGATCATCTGAAAAAAAATAATAGTAATAAAAATAATTGTATTTGAAATGTATCATATATGTATATTATTGACAAATCCTATTACACACGTATATGTGCATATCAAATATATCATATCAATAGCAGAAATTATAGGTATATAGAAGCCAGTACAACTTAATACACCAACATTTATTACATCATTGCAAAATTAGTTTTTATCTATATTTTTTTTTCTTTCTTTTTTGTATGGAAAACTACCTGGATGAAAGTTTAAAAATCATAAACCACATATATTTGGGAATATTAAGGCTCCTTAGCTGTATTGAAGGGAACTTACTTTGGAAAAAGAAAGCTGTAATATGAAGTACACATGTTCAACTGCGGGCATGTGTAGAAAGATCTTATATGGTAATCTTTGTGTTAGTGTCATGATATATATGTGTGTGTGTGTCTATATATATATATATATAAATATATATTTATATATATATATATATATATATATATATATATATATATATATATATATATATATATATATATATATATATATATATATATATATATATATATACACACACACTTACTAAAATTACTTTTAAAGTTACATTTACATTTAAATAAAGTAACAAATCACTTCTAATTTTTTTATAAAAACATTAATGAATAATATATATTTTTTTTATATAAGTTCTTATTTTTTATTATAAATGTTTTTAAATAAAAAAAATATATGTAATGTAACTATCTTTTCTTTTGTGCGAATAATTGTTAAGAACACCTTATTAAACCTTTAAATGTGCGCGTTTATTTAACAATTGTCAGTTGTAAGTTGTTACTTTATTTAAAAAGGTTTCACATAATATTACATTATAAAAACATTAGTAAAGATAAACGATCACATAATATTATTAACGATCTAAAGTTATTTATTCCTAATTTAAATAATCTTATCGTTATAGCTTATTATTTATTTCAGTCAAGTTTTAATTTCATTTTTGCTATTTTAGTTTTACTTAAGTTATTTTAATTATGTTTTTGTTACTTTTTTTTTTTTTTTTTTTACAAAGATTTATTTGCTTTTTTAATGATAAGTTTTTTTAAATTTCTTTATAGTTACATCTGGGTCTTTTCCTCCCTTATAAATTTTGAATTGATACAAATAATTGATGCTATCTAAAACACACCATAACTTAATCCCAAATCGAGAATGACATTTGTTTGGCATATATTGATGCAGATGCAGTGTCTTTCTTTGTAGCCAAACATACTCTTGCCTATTGAAATGTCTCTTTGTGGATAATAAAAAAATTTGTTGTTAAAATATTAAACTAAAAACTGAATTTTATAAATCATTTTGAGTGGTTGTTGATTTGGCATATGGATGTCTGTAAATAAAGAAATTTACCACGGCTATTTAGAGCAGCATAATTAAATTTGCAAAATCTCATTGATTTTTCTTAAATTAATGCATGAAAAAAATAATGTATTTGACTCTGAATTCTAGAAAATGTGTCTAAAACTTAAAAATGACACAAAACATGTTAAAAAGTTTGTTATCCTAAAATGTGCAAAAAAAATTGACAAATTATTTTACATGAAGCTATTTTTTTATGCTTTCAAAGTTGTTGATTCTAATATTTTTTACACGACTGCACATAGAACTTATAGATAAATACAATAAATAGTTAAATAAAAACAGCAAATAGTTAGAGACAACACCTTCTAGTTGATGATCACCAAATAAACCACCAAGACCCAGGGCTCTTTTGTTGCGAAAATCTGCAAGTTGATCACCAACTTCATAAAAAACAATTTCCCTAAAACAATCAAAGTTAAAGGGATTTTCTTAAGAAATTAAATATTGATTTAGCCTAAAAAATAAAACAGCTGTTTATAACCAGTTGATGTCTAATATCTCAAAAGTTTAGGATAGGAGTATTTAGACATTTCTAAGAGTTTTAATAACTTGTTATTTTTATGAAAAATTATATATATTGAAAATTTAACTAAAGTTTTTTGATTTTTTTAATAAGTAAAGCTTTGAAGGTTTTCTTTAAACAGTTGTAAATTACAATTATTTTCTATACTTAGTAGTATCTTGAGCATATTCCTATTTAGAATGTATATTGATTAGTAACCATGGATAAACTGTTTCGCTTGTGCTAAAACGCTTCATTTTATAGTAAAATATTATTTTACAGTGAAATATATTTTATTGCTGTTTTCTAAGACAAAACTTCACACCTTGCAACATCAAAAATACTATGTAAACGATCTTCTGTGGTTTTATTATTATCAAGCGAGTCTTCAATAGCTATTTCTTCAAGCTCATCAATATCTACTTTTAATGGCTAAAAATAAAAAATTATTAAAAAAAAAACAAAACTACAGGAAGCACAAAAACATAAAAAAACAACAACCATTAACACTTAAGTTTAAAAATAAACTACAAAGAACTAAGCATAAAAAGAAACTACAAAGAACTAAGGCAATTATCGAGCTCACAAGTTTGTCTGAATTAAATTAATTTTAAAAACATGTTACATCTGTATTTTAATAAACTTTTAACCAAATTATTTGAAATGAATGATGGCTTTATTGTTACACCCAATGAAAGTTTGAAATGTTAATAATTAATAAGGGCTTGCTGAGATCTCTAAGGCTAGTTTTGGTTATATGTTAATACTGTATATTTGTTTCAATATTGTTTCAATAAAAATAACAATGGTTTCTAAAGTAAAAAATTATGGAATTGATCTTTAGATAATTTCATATGTTTTTTAAATACATATTTTAAACCTTTTTAAAGTACAATTTTCAAGCAACAAATCTTAATATAAAGTAAAGATAAAACCTACAAATCATTTGTTTCACTTACTGCATTTCGAGCAATGAATGTTGAATATATTTCATATGCCCATCTCTTTAAATCCTTGATGCTACCAGATTCATCTTTAAATATTGAAGATACTAACCAAAAAAATAATGCACTAGGGTTACTGTTTGACATAAGAAAATGTAAAAATACAGCCAAATGAGCTGGTCGAGTAGCTAATAGTTTCAAGTCTACAAATGGACCATGGTCCCTAATGTTTTCATTTTCTAAATCAAACTCATAGTCTTCCATAGAAATAACTGAGCCAGCTAAATTAGTTGGAATGCCGGCAAGATTTTTTTGCTGCACTTCTAAAAACATTGAATCAAAAATTGTACTATCTTGCTCGCGTGAAGTTGTTGTATTATTTAATCTTGCTGGCAAAGGCAGCCCATCCGATTCATCCACAACATTCTGTTTTGTTATTGTAGACATTTTAGTATCAAAGGTAGGAGTGCTTAATGATGGTTGAAGCTATTAAAATAAAATAAAAATTATATATCAAAATAACATTAAAATTATATAAAAAAATAGTTTAGTTTTTCAGAAATGATAATTAAATTTTTTTTATAACAACTTTTATTGTAACACATAGCTGAGCAATCTAATGATATTGAAAATATTTGCGAATAAAACCTTAATAAGTAACTGGATATCAATAATTCCAAATATGAAGCATTGTGATTGATTAAAGAATATTGAGATATCATTAAACCCATCATTAGCACATTTTCATTATGAAAAAATATACTGAAAATTATACAAAATTTATATTAATAAAAAATTTACTTTCTAAAAATACTTCTAAATAAAAACAGTGCCTACTATAAAGGTTACACTTAAAATGTATATTTGAATATATATACACACACACACACACACACTCACACACACACACACACACACAACCCTCGAAATTAAAAAAAAATGTATACATGTATATACACTTATACAAAAATACATATACATTTATATATACATATTAAATGTTTATATAAAATTAATAAATACATATTTATTTATATTTATGCATTAATATATATATATATATATATATATATATATATATATATATATACATATATATATATATATATATATATATATATATATATATATATATATATATATATATATATATATATATATATATATATATATATATATATATATATATATATATATATATATATATTTACACACACTTTATAAACAAAAATTAATTTAAAAAAATGGATATATAAAAAAATATTCAATGCAAAAATTAAAAAAAAATCTAAATAAAAATAAAAAACATTAAACTTATGTAATTTTAAACCTTGTCATGTTTGCAAAAAATAAAAAACATTTTAAAATTATTTTAAATTAATCAGTTTTGAACAAAATGTTTTGAAAGTAAATACTCAACAGTCTAATAATAATATTCATCAAGCTAAATAGAAAACAAAATTTTTTGGCTAATTAAATTAATCTAACATTTTTAATCTTCCATATCAACTTAAAAATGTTTTAAAAGAACAACAAAAAAGAAGTGTTTTAAATCTATATGCAAAAGTAAATATTTGAAGAAATCAAAGGTTTTAAATGAGAAAAAAACACAATAAAAGAGGTTTTAAAGTCAACAATAAACAACATAAAAAATTAATTTTTTATAATACATTATAAACAAATAATAACTTCCATATAAATTAAAATTTTATTCAATTTACAAATAAGTCTATTAAATCTTGAGTAAATAAGAATTCGAGTACAAAATTTTAGTAACTCCATGACTATAAAAATATTTAATAAAACTTCAATATATTTATATCAAAGAACCTCTTGATTGTTAAGACACTATTTTATCTATTTAAATTATAAATACATAATTTAGTTTCTGTTTTTATTTTTTTTTTGAAATTGATTCTTTTTGTAAACTATTTAAAATTATACTATAATTAAAATACTTTGCTATACTCTAGAAAATACATTATCATTTTATGTAAAATACATTATCATTTTATATAATAATAATGCTATATAAATATTATATAAATATAATGCTATACTCTAGAAAATACATTATCATTTTATATATATACTCTAGAAAATACATTATCATTTTATATATATACTTTTTTATATAAAAAAAAGTTACAAGCAACTACAACAACAACTTTTATATTTTCTTTTAACAATCATAAAAATATTTTTAAAAAAATTTTAAGTAATAAATCAATAACAGTAATCAGAAGAAAAACATAATAATAAAAAGTATTTAATAACAAGTTAAAGAATGATAAGGTGTCACATAAAGCAGTGTGATCAACAGAGTGATACCGATTGTTATAATTAATGCAAATAAAATATGAATAATATTAAGGATATAAACATAACATACTTCAAAAGTAAATATAAAAAAATCTTAAACTGCAGGTAATAAAAACTAAAACACACTTAAAAAAACAAACAAACTAACAATTATTGAAATATTTTTTAGAATTTAATATTTTGTTGTTTTTTTTTCGATAAAAAAATGATATGAGTTTTAAAAAATAACCTAAGAAACACAGTTCTTTAACAAATCTGTTCCATCATTGAAATGACTAACCACATACTTATGAACTATAAATAATTTTATTATAAATTTATTTATAAAAATGTTTGAAAAAAACTTAATTTGATTTTTTGGAGATAAAATTAAGTGAGAAACCAGTTTTGCACTTTTTTTTAAATTTTTATTCATTGTTTTAACACCATAAAGTTAGTCACATACTAGATCAACAAACTTTGTAAAGTCTTACAAATTACTTGAAAACTAATTTTTAGGAGTAAAATTATTTTTATTTACCAATAAAATTGATGGTTAGCCAACTAATATAAAAATCTTTTTAATTTATTTTCATATAACTTAATTGCTCAAACCACTTACTTTTTTAACTGCTCATTTAACCTTTATTTGCATTCCACTTATTATCACATTTTTATTTTTAAAAAATCAGTTGTTAAAATCTTTTAAAATCTTTTAAAATTTTTACTAAAGTAAATTGAAACAAATTTTAGGATACAAAATCAAAAATTAAAAATAATGGTTTCAAAATAAAATCTAATAAAATATTATCAGAGACATAACTGAATAAAAACAAAAATTTATTTAACAAAAACTTCTTGAAATAACTAGCTGAACATCTAAATACATGAATTAGCTATTTAATGACCTTTGAATAAATACAATAGAATCCTGTTAACTCGGACCCTGAAAAGTCAGGCAAATTTTTAATTCCCCTTGAATTCTCTATACATACCAAAAGCTTTGCTTAACTCGGATATTCGCAAAGTCAGACGAAATATATATACCCGTTCAGAGTCGGAGTTAACAGGATTCTACTGTAATACCAATAAATATTATATACACAAATGTATATAACTAAGGTTAATGTTATAATATAATAAATATAAAAAATGTTATATTATAATAATGTAATAAATGTAAAACCATACAATATATAATATCAAGTTAATTATGTATGTCATCATTTTGTTACAACTATTATATATGTATGTCATCATTTTGTTACAACTATTGTATGCATTTTAGAGTATTTATACATTACATAAACACATAGTTTCCATAAAAACAACTTTTATAAAAAACTAACCTTAGCAAGTTGCCTAATATGTGATGGTGCAGAAAACTTTAAACTAGGCGTAGGGCTACTCACTCTAGATGAACACTGATCCTGAATGTTTTGATTTTCAGTTTCTTCTCTCGGATGTAATTTGTTTACATCTGTAGAACCAACATTAGGATCAATCTTTTGAGTATTAGAAGAATAGGGGCGTGTTTGTGGAGAAACACGACTTAAAGATTGATTATCTGGACGAAATACTTGACGTGCAGTTTGACTAACGCTGGCCTAAAATAATTTTTTACATTCTTAATCTTAGATGAAACATAAAATTATAAAATTATTTGCATATGGAATGAAAAAAAAAATTAAAAAATAGATGTAATACAACAATAACACTTAATGTTTGTTACTTTTGGAAATATATTGATATAAATTATAAGATAAAAATAAATTTAAACAAATAAAAACTAACAAGGCATAAAAAAAGACAAAAAGGTGAAAGAACACTCAGACTATGCATATGATTTGATTTAAAAGTTTGTAACAGCAATTTTCAAACTGTGATAAATTATGGAAGTAGTAAAAGTTATATATATATATACATATATATATATATATATATATATATATATATTATATATATTATATATATATATATATATATATATATATATATATATATATATATATATATATATGTATATTTATATATATATATATACATATACATATACATATATATATATTATATATATATATATATATATATATATATATATATATATATATATATAACTATATCTATAAAAAATAAGTTATATATATATGTATATATATATAAAAAGTTAAATGTGTATATATATATATATATAGATATATATATATATATATATATATATATATATATATATATAAAGTTAAATATATATATATATATATATATATATAAAGTTAAATATATATATATATATATATATATATATATATATAAAGTTAAATATATATATATATATATATATATATATATATATATATATATATATATATATATATATATATATATATGTATATATATATATATATATATATATATATATATATATATATATATATATATATATATATATAACTATATCTATAAAAAATAAGTTATATATATATGTATATATATATAAAAAGTTAAATGTGTATATATATATATATATATATATATATATATATATATATATAAAGTTAAATATATATATATATATATATATATATAAAGTTAAATATATATATATATATATATATATATATATATAAAGTTAAAGTATATATATATATATATATATATATATATATATATATATATATATATATATATATATATATATATATATATATATATATATATATATATATATATATATGTATATATATATATATATATATATATATATATATATATATATATATATATAACTATATCTATAAAAAATAAGTTATATATATATGTATATATATATAAAAAGTTAAATGTGTATATATATATATATATATATATATATATATATATAAAGTTAAATATATATATATATATATATATATATATATATATATATAGTTAAATATATATATATATATATATATATATATATATATATATATAAAGTTAAATATATATATATATATATATATATATAAAGTTAAATATATATATATATATATATATATATATATATATATAAAGTTAAATATATATATATATATATATATATATATATAAAGTTAAATATAATATATATATATATATATATATATAAAGTTAAATATATATATATATATATATATATATATATATATATATATATATATATATATATATATATATATATATATATATATATATATATATATATATATATATATATATATATACACACAGAACATTGGATCTGTTGCATTAATTATTTTGAAAATAATGCAATTTTTAATCTCTGGATTACTTCTATTTAAATGACATCTATGTATATATTTCTTATACAAAGTATGGTCGCTATGGGTCGCTTCATTATAGAATAAATTAATTTTTTAATGCAGTAATGCACGGAACAGAATAAAGCAAAAAAAAAAAATAATAATAATAATAATAAATCCTATTTTCTCTGAAAATGTATCAGTTACAGGTGTTTTGTTTTTTTATTGTTAATTATACAAGCATTCCTAAATTCACAAAGTTACAGCATTCTGTAACTTTGTAATAATCTTTCTTTTTGATATTTGCTACACAATAGTAGTTCAAATCAAAATCAAGCACAGACAAAAAAAGGTAACAAATAGAACATGCAAACATTTGTCATTTTTAAATTGCATTTTTGGAAATTAATCAAATATGACTAAATATAATGACTAAACTATCATAAATAACATATATATCAATAATAATTATATTAAATGTACATTTAATTAAAAAAAGGTTTTTTAATGCATTGTATTAAAGATAAATAATGTATTATATTAAAGATAAAAAAATTATAATATCAATTTATAATTTAATATAAAAATTATAATATCAATTTTATTTTGTTCTATCATGGTGTAATTTTTACTGAAATTTTGGAACTTGACAAATCTAATTTAAAAAATCTAATTTTGGAAGAGTTAAAAAAATAAATAGATGAATAGTTAGTTAATAAAAAAATGCAAAAAGTTGATACAAAATTATTCAAAATGTATTTTCTTCTGTTTGAATCAGCAGGTAATGCTTAATTAATTGCCTTTCCAAAACTCTGTGGAGATAAAAAATACTGTTCAATATCAGATTTATATTGGTTTACTTACGCAATCTTTTCGAGACACTTCCTCCTTTTCCTTGTTGCTCGAGTTAGCTCTTTTATTTTAAAAATAACTAAAGAACCAAAAACTATAAAACACAAAAAACCATCGTCATCACCAAGATCTCTAAACCTATCATTCACTAATATTCGTAGTCTTTGAAGTAACTTTTCTTCTGTTGAGTCTAATCTCTTGCAAACTTCACCAGACCTACTTACTTATTGTGAGACTAATTTTAGTTTGGCTGTCTCATCTTGTGATCTTAGTGTTGATGTTTATCTTCCTTTTATTCGTTAAGACTCCAATAGCCATATGCTTGGCCTGGGCATTTAGATTTGTAAGAAATCGCCCATTTGTTGAGAAACTAGGTTTGAATCCACAGACTATTCTTTTATGTGCTTTCATTTAGCACCACTTCACTCTATCACCGTTCTCTTTGTTCTATATTGCTCTCCTTCATCTCAAGACTGCATTCTTTTCGATGTTATTTCTGATCAAATTGACCAAGCCCTCTCTCTTTATCCATCAGCCAATATTGTTGTTGTTGGTGACTTTAATGCTCATTACACTGAATGGCTTGACTCTAGTGTCAGTAAATCTGCTGGCAATAAGACCCTCAACTCAATAGAATAAGATTCAAACAAAAAGACTCTTGACTTATGTCTTGCTTCTGATCCTAGTCAGTGCTCAGTTTCTCCACATTCACCCTTAGGTGCTTCTGATCACAGTTTGATCTCCCTAAAACTATTATCTCATTACTCTTCATTATCTGAATCTTCTTCATCATCATACCTCTTACAAATACCTTAAAGCTGACTGGGACTCTTTCCGTAATTTTCTTTGTGATGGCCCTTGGGTAGAAATCTTTTGTCTTCCTGCTGACAAATATGCTATAAGGTTGGTTGTCACATTTTTATCACTCCATTGTAGCAGCAGGCTATAAGATAGTTGATGTAGCAACACTCTGCGCACGTTTTAAAAATATATTTTAACAAAACAACAACATTAATTGAAAAACACTTTCTAGACATGAATATTGCGATTTTTTTTTTAAATAAAATTTAATGTACTTCTGCATTAATTTAATTGCTTTGACATTTCGACGACAATAAAATGCAGCTTAAAAGACAAGGTAAAAAAATTGTAGTCAAAAGACTTTTTTTTACCATAAAAATCTTTTTCGACTACACTATAAGGATATATATATATATATATATATATATATATATATATATATATATATATGTATGTATGTACTTTTCGTTCTCTATAAAAGTTTCTTACGGGTACATTTTATATATATATATATATATATATATATATATATATATATATATATATATATATATACATATATATATATATATATATATATATATATATATATATATATATATATATATATATATATATATACAAAAAGTTTAAAAACTTAAATAATTTTTTTATTCTTATTAAATGATGGACTGCCTACCCTACCCTCTGTCGATGTAGCAGTACTCCATTGCAAGTCAGGCTATAAGATAGCCGATGTAGCAGCACTCCATTTGCGAGTCAGACCATAAGATAGTCGATTTAGCAACACTCTGCACATGCTTGAAAAAAATGTTTTTAAAAAACAAAAACACTATTAATTAAAAAATTTTCTAGTAATTATTATTGCAATTTTCAAAAAAACAGTAAAACTCAACGTACTTCCACATTATTTTATTTGTTTTGATGTTTAGACGACATAAAAAAGTAGCTTTGTTGAGGTCGCGTAATTGTTGTTATAAGAGAATTTTTTTTACCATAAAGCCTCTTTCGACTACGAGATAAGAATATATATATATATATATATATATATATATATATATATATATATATATATATATATATATATATATATACACAATATAAAAAGAAAAGATGCAAGCAATCAGTATAAGAGTTGGAAGTTATTAAAAGAGAAAAAAATAAAGTTAATAGAGCAAGATAATGATTGACAGATGACTTGAAAAATTATACAAATCAGGAAAACAAGATAAAGGAAGCGAATTCCAAAGAAATGATGTTCCAGGAAAAAAACATAAAAGTTGCCAGAATAAAAGGTGATGAATTTGTTAACTACCAAGGAAATACTGTACCTCAAAAGTACACTGGCTTACCCTGCAGGTAAATTTTTTTGTATTCAATATTACTAATAGTTTTACAATTTCATTTTCGCAGATAAAAATTTTAATAAAATGCAGTATAAAAGTATTTTTTATTATTTAAGAACTTTACAACAGGGTAGCGTGGGCCTAATCTGAGCAGGGCTGAATAAAAAGGTTGAATAAAGCTTCGAAATTTTTTTTATTTTTACATTTCAATATTTCAGTGTCAAGTATTTCATTACGTCAAGCATTTGTAAACAAAGACACTATTGTATTCACAGGGCCTGATACAAAAATATGCCTTGTTTGGAATAGCCCTATGTATGCAGAGGTTAATCTTACCAAAAGTCAATGTGTACAAAAAATGCTTGTTAATATTCTTTTTAATTTAATTGAATAACATTTTTTTAGGCAAATGTATTTCAGAGTAATTGCTTATGTCAATGGAAATATAATGAGCATATTTGAAGAAATATGCTCATTATTTGAGAATAAACAACAAACATTTCTAAATTATTTTAATTCTAAATTATACATAAAATGCTCATATTTTCTTTTTCATAAATTATACTTTAAATTCGTCTCTTTTTTTTTGAATTTTTTATTCTTATTTTTTTGAAGTTTTTCTACAAGCTGAGGTAACTTTTTCAGTGAGAACCTTGCCACATTTTGCTTGCACTTGATTTTTTCCCTTTCTTTTATTGCTTATAGATGTTAGACCTAAACTATTAAAAAAAAAAACACAAATAAAATTTAACCTATCTACACAATTGAAAAGGTAAAATAATTAACCAAAGTTTATTTTAACAAAGTCTTACTAGCAGACCTACCTTGATAAACCAATTTTCAAAGACATCCTTCCATCTACCCTGACTCAGAAACAGCATATAGGGCGTCATTAAGACCCCTATACACATAGTGTTGTGAAGATTTTTGATTTTATAAACTACAAAAGATGGTATAAAAAAACCAGTAGCGCTTCCACATATTAATACAGAGAACATAGTTTTGCTACAAGAAACATTAGTCTTATTAATACTTTTTATCTCAAGAAATATTAGCGATATTTGAGATATTAGCTAGAGTATAAAAATACATTACATAAATTTAGACATCTCTTTGTAACAAGCGCTTATTTTGAGCATTTTTCAAAGGGCTAACAAAAAAAGAGCATTTTTTTGATCGTAATAGATGCTTTTTTATAGAATATTTTGATAAAAAATTGACAACATAAAAATATTTTAATAAAAAATTGTCATAAAACATAAAAAAAAAACTTGTTGATACAAACTAATCAGAACTGCATATTAATAAATGCAGTACAGTAAGTTAAGTTGTTTTCAAGTACTTTTTAAATACTGAGAAAAAAAAGTTTTAAAAAAGTACCAACACTGAGTTAAGATAAATGACTATGAAAAAAAAGGTAAAAAGATTAGGTTCAGTACAATGGTATTTTAAAATTTTTTTGAAGAAATTGAATATCTTAAGGCTACTTTTATTTTCTGTATTTTACTGCTGTTTATTAAAATACAAATTGTTAAATTAATTGTTTCAAAGTTTAATTTATTGTTTATCTCTTTTTGTAAAATCCCATAAGACTATATAAATGTTTCATAATAAAATAGATCTCTAAACAAATCGGTTAAATTTATTAGTAATGAAATAAAAAGTAATGAAATATATATATATATATATATATATATATATATATATATATTTATTATATATATATATATATATATATATATATATATATATATATATATATATATATATATATATATATATATATATATATATATATATATATATATATTATTCCATTCACTTTGGCTTATCGAATTTACTAATTTTTCATATTTTAACTTTAAAGAAATATTTGTTTTAGGTATAAAAAAACTACATTAACATATTGAGTTTAAAAAATTAGTAAACATTAAAGAAAATATAATAGAGATAAAACAGAAATTACTACAGCAAAAAAAAAAAAGAGATTAAACTGAAATTATTGCAGCAAAAATACAAAACAAAAAAAAACTGAAATTATTGCAAAAAAAAAAAAAAAAAACTGAAATTGTTGCGGAAATAGAAAAAAAGAGATTAAAGCAAATTATTAGTTCAAAAAAAAAAAAAAAAAAAAATTATTCCTGCAAAAAAAGAGCAAAAGACTTGGTTAGTATTGTTACCTTATGATTTGATGTAAGTACTTTGAATTGATTTTCTAAAGCAGTTATGCGTATTTCACAGTCTGCAAGCTATATTCATAAAACAGAAAAATTTTTATGATTAATGTTAAATGTTTTAAAGATAAATACGATCTTATGATAAACTTTTAAATTGTTTTGACATTTTGTTTATGTGTTGAAATTATGTTTATGTTTTGAAAATTTGTTTAAACCATAATATATAATCAAATAATCTAATTTAGCATCTAATAATGCCAGGCTTATTTGTTTTTAGGTAATCATCAGTATCTATCAGGAGAAAAAAATATGCATGATATTTTTTTAGTACCAAAAATATATGTTTATGATTATCAGATAAAAGTTTTGATTTTTTATTCTCTTGTGGTTACAAATGATGAGCATTTATGTTATGAATACAAAAACTATTTTTTTAATAATTATGAGAACATCACCATCATGATCAGTTTTATATTTTTTGATCTGATTGATATTTTCAGATCTGATTTTGACAACACAAAAATTGTAAAATATACTGTTTATATAGTGCAAGTTGACAAGTTTAAAAAATTGTAAAATATATTAGTTTATATAGTGCAAGTTGACAAGTTTAAAAAATTGTCAAATATACTGTTTATATAGTGCAAGTTGACAAGTTTAAAAAATTGTAAAATATACTGTTTATATAGTGCAAGTTGACAAGTTTAAAAAATTGTAAAATATACTGTTTATATAGTGCAAGTTGACAAGTTTAAAAAATTGTAAAATATACTGTTTATATAGTGCAAGTTGACAAGTTTAAAAAATTGTAAAATATATTAGTTTATATAGTGCAAGTTGACAAGTTTAAAAAATTGTAAAATATACTGTTTATATAGTGTAAGTTGACAAGTTTAAAAAATTGTAAAATATACTGTTTATATAGTGCAAGTTGACAAGTTTAAAAAATTGTAAAATATACTGTTTATATAGTGCAAGTTGACAAGTTTAAAAAATTGTAAAATATACTGTTTATATAGTGCAAGTTGACAAGTTTAAAAAATTGTAAAATATATTAGTTTATATAGTGCAAGTTGACAAGTTTAAAAAATTGTAAAATATACTGTTTATATAGTGCAAGTTGACAAGTTTAAAAAATTGTAAAATATACTGTTTATATAGTGCAAGTTGACAAGTTTAAAAAATTGTAAAATATACTGTTTATATAGTGCAAGTTGACAAGTTTAAAAAATTGTAAAATATATTAGTTTATATAGTGCAAGTTGACAAGTTTAAAAAATTGTAAAATATACTGTTTATATAGTGCAAGTTGACAAGTTTAAAAAATTGTAAAATATACTGTTTATATAGTGCAAGTTGACAAGTTTAAAAAATTGTAAAATATACTGTTTATATAGTGCAAGTTGACAAGTTTAAAAAATTGTAAAATATATTAGTTTATATAGTGCAAGTTGACAAGTTTAAAAAATTGTAAAATATACTGTTTATATAGTGCAAGTTGACAAGTTTAAAAAATTGTAAAATATACTGTTTATATAGTGCAAGTTGACAAGTTTAAAAAATTGTAAAATATACTGTTTGTATAGTGCAAGTTGACAAGTTTAAAAAATTGTAAAATATACTGTTTATATAGTGCAAGTTGACAAGTTTAAAAAATTGTAAAATATACTGTTTATATAGTGCAAGTTGACAAGTTTAAAAAATTGTAAAATATATTAGTTTATATAGTGCAAGTTGACAAGTTTAAAAAATTGTAAAATATACTGTTTATATAGTGCAAGTTGACAAGTTTAAAAAATTGTAAAATATACTGTTTATATAGTGCAAGTTGACAAGTTTAAAAAATTGTAAAATATACTGTTTATATAGTGCAAGTTGACAAGTTTAAAAAATTGTAAAATATATTAGTTTATATAGTGCAAGTTGACAAGTTTAAAAAATTGTAAAATATACTGTTTATATAGTGCAAGTTGACAAGTTTAAAAAATTGTAAAATATACTGTTTATATAGTGCAAGTTGACAAGTTTAAAAAATTGTAAAATATACTGTTTATATAGTGCAAGTTGACAAGTTTAAAAAATTGTAAAATATACTGTTTATATAGTGCAAGTTGACAAGTTTAAAAAATTGTAAAATATACTGTTTATATAGTGCAAGTTGACAAGTTTAAAAAATTGTAAAATATATTAGTTTATATAGTGCAAGTTGACAAGTTTAAAAAATTGTAAAATATACTGTTTATATAGTGCAAGTTGACAAGTTTAAAAAATTGTAAAATATACTGTTTATATAGTGCAAGTTGACAAGTTTAAAAAATTGTAAAATATACTGTTTATATAGTGCAAGTTGACAAGTTTAAAAAATTGTAAAATATATTAGTTTATATAGTGCAAGTTGACAAGTTTAAAAAATTGTAAAATATACTGTTTATATAGTGCAAGTTGACAAGTTTAAAAAATTGTAAAATATACTGTTTATATAGTGCAAGTTGACAAGTTTAAAAAATTGTAAAATATACTGTTTATATAGTGCAAGTTGACAAGTTTAAAAAAACTTATGTTACTTAGAGTAGGACATTTTTTTTGTAATGTTAAACATTCATGAAAAGATTAGCATAATTATACTTTTTACAACATAATATAACATAAGTAACATAAAACTCCTACAATGCAAGTAAAATTCATTTAGATACAGAAAGATAATTTTTTTTTCTAAAAATTAAAATTGTAATCCATTTCACATTTCTTAACCACTCCATAAAAGAATCTTTTATATTGAATAATTATGTACAACAATAAATAAATAATAACTTGGAAAAAAAAACTAAGTTAACCCCAAGAGAGAAAATAATTAAGCAAAAAATTACAGACAATTTATGACAATTTTTATTTAATTGCATTATTTAACATATTTATTATGCACTTAACTTTATACATTATTTATTAACTCATGTTAAAATATGCTAACTTGTCTTAAAATAAGCTAACTCATGTAAAAATATTCTTGTGTTAAAATATACTAATTCATGTTAAAATGTGCTAACTTGTGTTAAAGTCTAAGTTACCTAATGGTAAAATGTGCTAACTCATGTTAAAATAAGCTGAACACTGATACTCATTATCCTAAATTTTTAAAATAGAATAGAACCTGGAAAATGTTTATTACTTATAATGTTTTCATTTAAGAAATAAACTTAACTTATTCTTAAGCAGTTTAATAATAATCACCCAAAGACAATATTTTTCCTAAACAATATCAACCTAATAAGCATTGTAATATATGCAACAGATCAGGTTAAATTATTTTGATGGGACACAAGAAACAACAAATTAATTGCATTAAGCAATTTTTTTTTATAATCAACTCTACAAAATTACTACAGTCAAAGAGGCTACATTTTTTTATTTTTTTTTCAACCTTTTAACAATATAACTTAAAGACATTTTGACAAACAGCAGTTACACAATGAAGCTTTGCAACTGTGTGAAGAACCAATTTTAGTGCTACCAGTGATAGAAAGCAGCCGAAGTTGATATTTGACCTCAATAATCCTTTCCTTTTTTTTTTTTTTGCAGAAAGAAACTGCATAAATAATAAAGTACTTACATGAAAAAGTTTACAAGGAAAAAAATAAAAAATAAAAAAAAAGAAGAAAGAAAACAATTTTAAAAAAAGTACAGTTGTCAATTCACATTATTTTTTCAATTCAAATATTATTAAAAACTTATGGCAGTCAAATAAAATTACCTCTTGTTGAGACTTTGGAGACTTTGATTTCATGTACTCCTCATAAACTTTCTAAAGTTAAAAAAACTTCATAAATAAATTTTATTTTAGTATTATTCAATGTTGTACTTGTTATGTTTTCTCTATTGTTGATTGATTCTATTGAGTGATTGGTGATTGATTCTATCGAGTGATTGGTATTGATTCTATTGAGTGATTGATTCTATCAAGTGATTGGTGATTGATTCTATCGAGTGATTAGATACTTAATTGGTACTTATTACTCATCTAGAAACTTTACTCAATATGATATTTAGTATCTTAACTATTAGGCTTTCTGATTTAGGGATTAAAAAAAAAAAAAAAAAAAAAAACATAAATAAAAAGCATATAGTTCTATCATGCGGAGTCACTTTAGAGGTGAAATAGATTAGATCATTAAAATAAATAACAAACAATACAGGATAAAGGATATCACTTTGTGGTACAACAGAAGTTTAATGTTCATTACACTAATTGCTCATTACACTGTATGCTCATTTTGCTGAATGCCTTGATTAAAATTAAGAGATCACTTAAAGATGGAAGCAGGAAAATTATGAAGTATACCTTTTGATATTCACGCTCTTGATTTAGAGTGCGCTCAATGTCACTCGCACGCTCAGATATTGGTTTGACAGAATTCTAAATATAAAATAAGAATAAAGAAAAAGACTTTTATCATTATTATTATTTTTATTGTTATTTTTATTTAAGTTAAACTTGTTAAATGTTAGACAAATCAAAAATGTAAAAAATTGCGTTTAAAAAATGTAACTAAAAAATGTAAAAAATAAGAAACCATGAAAATACAATTAAATAAAAAAGTGTAAAAAAATTTTGAATTCATCTAACAAATACAAATCAAAAAAAAAAATTATTTCAATTATTTTTAACAAAAAAAAATTTGCAGCCCAAGATACTACAGTATAGCCATGTTACAGTATATTTAAACAAATCATACCGTGTATGCTGAGAGATTATTCCCAAGTGAAACAGATCTTCTATGGTTTGAAATGTTTGATTGATCAACTAAAAAGAATGTAAATAACATTAAAATTATAACCTAAGACAATTACAAAAAAAAAAAAAAAAGGTAATGGTGAGAATGAGTCGCAGAATTTTTTTAATAAAAAAATGTGAAGGAATGTGTATACAAATATCTAACTTAAGTAAACTTTAAATTATTATGTAATGTTAAAACATATATCAGGTATTACAGTTGAACTTTTACTTGAAAATTACATTGCAGCAATACCTTTGTAACTTTGATTTATAGCATTTATTTTCATATTTTAAAGTTGTTTATTAAATACTATTAAAACAATTACTGTACAACACACCTTAATGGCCGAAGTGGTTAGCTCGCAGCATTTCTGAAATGCATTGCTGAAGTTCAAATCCATACACATTTTTTTTTTTTTAAATACAAAATAAAACCTTTTTGAAGCTCTATATATTCAATATACATAACATATATAAAGATATAATATACTATAACAAACAAAAAGGGGAGAATTTTAAAAAAAACTTAAAATTTCTAAAAACATCAAAACACTGGAGGAATTTGTTGTGCATATGTCATGATAAAGATACTTATGTAATAAATGTGCTCAGGTAATTAGTCCTAATAAGCTGCGAATAGTTTGAAAAAAAATTATTGTTAGGTGCATATTTTTTTACTTGGGAAGACCCATATTTTATGGGTCCAGACAGCTAGGATATGTATAAAGAAAAAATATAGAAAGGTTTGTGTGAAATAGATTTGCAAAGACCTGTAATTTTATGGGTCCAGGCAGCTAGTATATATTAGCCCTCGGAATTAGGGTCAGCATTCGGCAATGCCAACCTAAAAGTGCTTGAGGTCTGCAAAAAATTGCAGACCTCATTTCTATGTTTTATGGTTTTTGTGTCAATTTTTTTACCGACCTCTAACAGTTTGAGGTCGCCAATAAATTGCCGACCTAAAATTGATCTCATTTTTTCCAATTGCAAGGGCTGATATATATTATTTATAAAAAAATGACTTTTTCTACCCATTAGTTGTCAGTTTTCATAATAAAGATATTCAGGTGAACAAAAACTTTTAGAATCTAGACATGTAATCAATGCCTCTATCTTCCTTTGAATAAGCATTATAATTGGCACAGCCTAGTTGTGATTAAATCTTAAACTTTTTTAAAAGATTTTGTTACAACTCATGAAAATAGTTTTTATCTATCTCTTAATGCTTTTACAGCAAATTCCTTTTTTTAAATGTGCTAATTGAGAATCCAATTACACGCTAAAGTCAACTTCAGTCAGTTGAAATTACTGCATAACTAACTCTAATGGACATTTTGTAACCATATTTAAATATTATTTAGTGTTTATTACTTAGAGTTGCCAAATCTAAAATGCATAACTTTATAAAGCCAAGTTACAATTGTAACAATTCTATTAATTTCTATTTGGGAATTTTCATGATTCAATATCTCAGTTATTTTTTGTAATGAGCATTCAACCTTACAAAAACTTTATCATTTTATTATTTACATAAATTATAAAATTATGCTTTAACACTCATAAAAACAAATTCCTGTTTCATCCTAATTCAACACGCTTTTGTCATCATAACATGTTGCTATCCATTTATGCGGTAGCGGTGCAGTGGTAGAGGGCTCGCCTCTTAAGCAAAAAGTTTTGAGTTTGATCCCTGTCACGTCCCTGGTAGTACTGCATTGAACTTGTTTCTCAGCATAGAAGTCATCGTCTAGGTTCGTGTTTCAGAGTTTTGGAGTTGAGAGAGGGTTGTAACCATAATTTAAGTAGCCTCCTTGACTATAGTGGCTATATTCATGGCTTTGGTGAGGGAAACACACACACACACACACACACACACACACAAAAGAAAGTTATCCACTCTAGTGACTTGCAGTTTATTTCAGTAACATTTAAATACTTGATTCTCTAAATTCCAAACCTTTTCTGGTTATTATTTACGTAAATTGTAAAATTATGCAACATATAATTTGAAGACTCCGAGTTATTGAATAAAATGGAGAAATCGAGCTTCGGCTCAAAACAACATCATTAGTTTTTCTTGGTAAGCATTCATTATTTATTTTTAATCAAAAAAACTTGGTTCAAACCTTTTTTTTTAACATTATCTTAAATATGAACACAACATGTGTTGGGAATTTGGATCCTTTTAAATACTTGTTTTTCTAAATTCCAAACTTTTTCCGGTTAGAAACATTGCCACATCAAAAATTCTCTGAAGAAACTGTTGCAAGTGTGATGCTCCTAATGGTCTGTAGCAGCATAATATCTACAGTGAAATTTTTTTCTTTAAACCAATTTTTTGATTTTGTAGACTAACACCATCAAACTTAAGCAGTTTTTTCCTGATAACCTCATCAATTATGGTGTACATCAACTTTATTTTCAATGTAACCAGGAACAGAAAAGTTGTCAGTCATGTTACATAAATCTAGGGGAAAGTTAATAAGTTAAATTATTCAAAAGTTGAAAACTAGAGAATATTAATAGAAATGTAAAATGAAAACTTATTGAACAAAAATGTATGTTTGTGTTCTGTTTAAATCTGTGATACAGTCAGGCTTAGACAGGAATAGCGTGCGATCGCATTCTGACCACGCTAATATTTTTATTTCTTTACAACTTGACCACGGCTATTTTGATGTTTTAACAATTTGAATGCAATAAAAAAAGTGTTACGTTATAAATATCTTTTAATCGTAGATCTTTTCTAAAGTTTTTTAGTTTACGCAAAGGCTTTAAATAAAACCATAAAATTAATTATAGTTATTGTTTACATAAATGCTTATGTAAATTAATAAAAAACGTTATAAATAAGTTTTTTTTATGTAGGTATTTATTTTTTATGATAAATTTAAACATTTGAAACTATTTTCCTATGTCTTCCTAAAACATTTTTAAACCATTATTTTAGAAAGAATTTTTTACTTTAATTTGTGAATAAGTTGAAAAGCTTTTGTGACTACTAACTTTTACACATTTTATGTGAATTACACAAGAATATAAAATAACTTTATTTACTTATATAAGCATATATTTTGTTGATTTAATGAAAAAGTTTTAAAGCATTTTGTAATGTTCATACGATTAATTTTTATGATTAAACTTACGATTTTTTAAAATGTTATAAATAAACATTTTATTTTTTGTAAACAATTTTTTTTTTTTTTTCAATTTCGTTACAAATGAATGAGATTAAATTTTTTATAATAATTTTTAAGCGCTTATTAATAAAGTTGTAATGCTCAAATTAAAACTAAATTAAAAAGCTTGTTGGTAGTTTATTTTATTTAAATCGCAGGCGCATTTTATTTATTTATTTTTTCTATTTTTACAAATAGAAAAGTTTTTTTAATTAGTGAGTCTAATTAAAAAAAAAGGTTTTGAACTTTTCTATTTGTAAAAATAGAAAAAAAAAATAAATAAATAAAATGCAAAAAAAAAATAAATAAATAAATAAAATTTAATTAGAGCATGAAATTAGTTAAAATTACTATTTTAAAAAGACTACGTTATTTTTTTAAACAAGTTTTTTTTTGCAACTTTTTTGACAAAATAAATGTTTATACAAATTAAAAATATTATATAAAACACTTTTTAACAAATTTAATAAAATTTGTTACTTAATTTAAAATCATTGTGCATAACTTTAATAACGCTTAAAAAGATAAGCTTTAATAACATTTATTTCATACGTAATTAAAAACGTAACAAAAAGTTTTGCTTCGAGTTTAAGTTTTTATATTCAGAACATTTCTGAAATTTTTAACTCATCAAAACATATAAACATTGTTTATTAAACAATCGTGGTCAAGTTGTCAAAAAATAAAATCATTTGCGTGATCAGCAATTAGTAAGCGACCAGGGTTAATATTTGACCGGGGCCGGGTTTGATAAAACATAGCCGGGGTCGGGTTTGTAACCGGGGCTGCATTAATATTGATATACCTTATAATATATTATTGTTATTTAAAATTCATATATTTTATATAAAGGTATATATCATCATGTTTTTAGCTGGGGCCGGGGACCCGGTCACTTACTATCAGTAATAGCGCTTGATCGCATGCCATTCCTGTCCAAGCCTGTGCAGTATGAGTTCAGTAACTAAGTAGTGACTCCAACTATAAAACCTATGCTCACCTTAATCTCTACGAATTTGTTAGATGTTTTTATTTAATACATTTCCAAAATATCATGCTTAATGTTTTAAAGTACTGCTTACAGGAAGTAACTCCCTTTAACAACTCCAGGTCAGGTCAGGTCAGGTTCAAGATCATCACGATCACCCTGCTATTGGTATCAGGTAACCCAGTACTACTTGCCCCATGCCCTGCTGCCTTGTAGAGTGTGCTTTTTTAGACAACGGCTAGGAGAAACAAACTCCGACTTAAAAATCCTTTAGGGCTCTGGGTTGAGTAAAAGCTAGAGATGGTGTCTCGATAAAAACACTCATTTCTGAAAGATGTTAACTGCCTCTAGCAACTGTCTTGTAGAAACTCTCTTATGCAAAAGCTTAAAGAGTAAGCAGAATAGTTCTGCTAACCATCCTCCAAGTCCTTCTTCTATTAGGCTGGTGTAGATGTAAACCTTTGTTACACTGTTTCCTGCCTAGGATGATGAATGCTAGATTTTCTTGAATTTAATCATAGGCTTTTGCATGCACCTCCTTGATAGTGGCTATGCAACTGTTCCTGATATCTCCTGATGAGGGTTGCTCTAAAAATCAGTTCATTGGTTATAAGGTTGGGTGTTAGTAAGGTTCCTTAAACTTTGAGAGTTTGGGGAACCTTACTACTAGATGGAATCAGCCTCTATAATAGCTACAACTGAGTTGTAGCTCTCAGAGAGGCTGATTCCATCAACAGTTGCAAAATATTAGAGTATTAACAGTGCCGTGTTGTGCATGGATGGTGTCCATGTTAATGCTTTTTGTGCGCATTGTCGAGACCACATAAGGTTATGACTTAGGGTTAATTAACAAGACTGAGACAACTGCATAGCTCATTGCTTAGAAGGCTGTGCTCTTTTTATTGATGAGTCAAGTTTTCTTTAAATTTAAATCATCCCAAAAGTAACCCAAAATATTCAACATAAAACTGGTGTTAAATTTCTCTTTTTTCTTCCATACGTGGTTCTGACAATGCAATGATCTATATAAATCATCTTCTATTTTTTTTCAAACTCACCACACTACTTATTTTTTTTAAACTCACCACACTTATTTCTACGGCATTTTTTCAAACACTTATCATCACACTACTTAACTTTGACTGAAATTCTTTTCATGAACTTTTTTTTGACGGTCCTTGGGCTTATGTCTTTTCTCCCTTCAATGTAACATCCTCAGGTAGTAATGGAACCTTTTATTCCTTCTCGTCAGTTTCAAGTCTCATTCTACTCCATGGTTTCGACCTTCTTGTGCAGCTGCTATATATAATCATAACCATATTTTTCAAAGGACTTTTATGAGATCCAACTATTTATTATCGCAAGAAATTGATGTGCTGTCAGATGCTAAGCTCCATTATTCTCAGTTCACTAAATCTTGTATGTTTTTATCTCAGAAGTTAGACTCTAAAGACTTTTGGAAAATCTTCAACAGTCAAATTAATCCTAATTAGGGTCTTTATATAGCACATATTATGTAAACAATACAAACATAACAAATGTAATGTATGTAAATGGGTTTTAAATTTAACATGTAAATGGGTTTTAAATTTAACAAATATATCTATAAATGGATTTAACATTGAGTATTGCTCCACTGAGATCTACTCTTCCAAATTCTAGAATCTCTTTTTGTTAAAGCTACAAAGTCTCACAAAAAATATAATTGGATCTTCTTTTACATTTTTCTATGAATTTAGAAAAATTCACTACTAATATTTAACTCTTAAATACTAAAAAAAAGTTTTCTCTAATGAAAAGTACTAAAAGTAAAGTGGGAGATTCTCTAATGGGAGATTTAGATGAAGATTTAATTTATCTTTTATATAAGTTTATATATAATATATCAATATCTAATTTTATAGGACAATTTATCGGTTCTCCTAAGAAATTTAATCACCCCCAAAAAAAACTGTATCTTCCAGGCGATGGTTCAAGAGTTTTAACAAAAATGTATTAGTTGAAGATGCTTTTAAAATTTCCTGGGATCTCTTTATTAAAAAAGATGATCCTGTAAATCAATTTATCAGTTTTCTTTTAACAAAATTCAAAAATATTTTAGATCAGCATGCTCAATATAAAAAACTACCCAAACAGCAAGTTAAACTTAAATCAAAACCATGGATAACAAATGGCATACTTAGATTTATTTCCATTAAAAACAGACTATAGAAATATACAAAGTGTAACAATATAGGTATTAAAAGTGAACTTTTTATAACAGAATCAGCAATCTATTAAAACCTAGTGAAAAAATCTTATAACATAACATATTTAGTAGAAACAAAAAAATGAAATGGCTTACCTCATTAAAACCACTCTTAGAAGTGGAAAAAGCTTTATTCCTAATACCCTTCCTACCTTTTTCTTAACCTTATTCCAGATATTATTTACAAGCCTCTCAGTATTGTTATAAATAACTTATTTCAAAATGGTTCATTCCCCGACACTTTCAAAGTTGCTAAAGCCATATCAATGTTTAGGAAAAGAATTTTCTAACTTAAGCAAACTTCTTGAAAAAGCATAAAAAGCTCTATGCATTTTTGGATAAATTTAAATGCCTTTACAAACACCAGCATGGGTTTTGTGCTAATCATTTCACAACCCACTCACTTTATTGAAATCACTGAGTTAATTAGAAAAGCTATTGATGATAAATATTTTGCATGTAGTTGTCAATCTACAAAAAGCTTTTGATACAGCAGATCATTCAATCCTACTCAAAAAATTAGAATAATGAAAACAGAGGAATACCTCTTAAATGGTTTACTTCCTATTATCACAACAAACCTCAATTTTTTTCCATTAATGACTCAAAATCTATTAAAATAAAATGTTTCAATGGTGTCCCTTAAAACTCAGTATTAGGACAGCAACTTTTTCTTCTTTACATTATTGACCTCAATAACTCCGTTAAATTTTCAACTGCTTAACACTTTGTTACAACACATAAACCATGATCTTGCCAATCTAGTTCAGT